GCTGAAGTGGTAGAGGCTTGCCTTGAGCTGAAGAACTGAGGGACAGTGCCCAGGCCCAGAGTTCAAGCCCTATGACCAACAAAAAATAAAAATAAATAAAAATAAAAATAATATCATAGTAAATGGGCAGGCTCCAGTAGCACAGTAGTTAAGTGGCAATGTCTAGGTCCAGGTCCTACATCTTTCACTTAAGCAGTGTGTGTAGCCCAGGCAACTTGCAGAAGTTTATAAACAAACTTCATCTACAAAGTGGGAGTAAAAATTACAATACTTAACTCTCAGGGTTGTTGCAAAAAATTATTGTACAGTGTATTAGTAGTTAAGAGCACAGACTAAAACAAGAACTCCCAACTTGGAAATTAGCTGTGTAACCCTGATTAAGTCACACAAGTGAGGTGTTTTGTTTTTTGTTTTGTTTTGTTTTTGCTAATCCTGAGGCTTGAACTCAGGGCCTGGGCACTATCCCTGAACTGCTTTTGCTCAAGGCTAGCACTCTACCACTTGAGCCACAGTGCCACACCCAGCTTTTTCTGTATATGTGGTACTGAGGAATCAAACCCAGGGCTTCATGCATGCTAGGCAAGTACTCTACCTCTAAGCCACCTTCTCAGCCTATCCCCACAAGTGAGTTTTTTTCTATTTTTTGAATGATAAAAACTTCAAAGAGTTACAGGAGAATAAAACAGGATCCTCAGTGCCTGATAGAAAGCATATCACTAATGAGATGAAATAAGTGAAGCAAATAGTTCATTAATTTGATAAATCACAAAGTTGAAGTGGTAGATTAAACATGTCTGTGCATCATTAAGGGATTTCTGTAGTACCAAACATCTAATAACAGACATGCTTTTATTGTATTTAGTCAAAATTAACCAAATGTCTATGCTTTCAGGCTTGTGCTGCTTACAGGATTACAGGTTTAAGCTATTGGTGCCAGTCTGAATATGGTCCAATGGACCAGCATCAGCAGCACATGAGAACAATTCTACTTAAAAAACTGTGACAACAACTTTAACAAACCTTCCAGGTAATTCTGATGTATAGTCAAGTTTCAAAACCACTGTAATAGCCAGGCACCTGTAGCTCATGACTGTAATCCTAGCTACTAAGGAGGCTAGGATCTGAGCATCACAGTTCAAGAAAAGTCCAGACACTCTTATACTTCAATAAACTATTTAAAAAGCTAGAAGTGGAGCTGTGGCTCAAGCCTTAAGCAAAAAAGCTCAGGGATAGCACCCTGGCCCCGAGTTTGAGCCCAAGGATCAGAATAAACAAACAAACAAACTACCAGAGTAAAGTAACTGCTGAGGAACAGTACTGATCATTCTTGGGCATCTTATTATTTTCCAAAGTAGTGCTTCCAATGACACTATCATCAGATGTGGAAGAAAGTTCCCACAGCTCCATATTACCACCAGTGGTTGATACTATCAATTTTCATTTCTACCAGTCTAATATATACAAAATTTGTCTCTTGTGGTTTTATTTCCCAAAATTGTTCATGAGATTAAAATAATTTCTTTCATTTGTTTATCAGTTATTTTAAAATTCTTTTTTGTTTCTAGACATAGGAGTTCATTATGTATCCCAGGCTGGCCTTGAAACTTGCAATCCTCCTGGATGAGCCTCTATACTGGTGGGATTAGAGGTGTTCTACCACTTCTGACTAAATCCATTTTAATCAAATGTCTGTTCTGCTTTTTAAAATTTTTAACCCCTATTTTGTGTTCTATTTTGTTTCTATTTTGTGTTCTGTTCTTGTCTTAGAAATTCACAGCAACTCATTATGTGTATTTTTAACCTCCACGTTTGTCCATGGTAAGAAAAAAATAATACTCTTTATTCAGTATACCCTGTGGTCTGGTACAACATGTGGTGTACCCTGAGAGGTAGCTATCAGTCATTCTTTCAATGTGCTTTTTTTTTTTTTTTGGGTCCGGTTGTGGGGCCTGAACTCTGGGCTCTACCACTTGAGCCACAGTGCCACTTCTGGCTTTTTTCTTTGTGCTTATGTGGGCTGGGAATCGAACCCAGGGCCTCAGGCATGCAAGGCAAGCGCTCTTACCACTGAGCCACCTTCCCAGCCCTCAATGTGCTTTTTATAAAGCCTTAAAATAGTATCATATGGTGTTCTTGGTATAAAGGACCTGGTGCTCATAATTAAATAATAAGAATCCTATGAGAATGCAGTATTATTCGCAAGCGCACGCACGTATGTGTGGATGTGTGTGGATGTGTTGGTTGTAGAGCTTTAACTCAGGGCCTGGGCACTGTCCCTGACCCTCTTTGTGCTCAAGGCTAGCATTCTACCATTTGAGTCACAGCACTACTTCCAGTTTTCTGGTGGCTAATTGGATATTAGAGTCTCACAGCTTTTCTGCCCCGGCTGGCTTCAAACCAGAATCCTCAGATCTCAGCCTCCAGAGTAGCTAGGATTACAGGCATGAGCCACTGGTGCCAGGCTTATTGTCATTCTTCAAGCAATGAGAACAGGCTCAAATGACTTCAAATGACATGTCCAAATTCACATCTTACTTTCTACTCTGCTATCACACCTAAAAGGACTAGGAAGGTTTCATGGGAAATGCAGAAGAATGGACTTCAGAAATAGGAGAGAAAAAGATTTCAGCATTTCAGGTAAATTGGAAATGGCTAAGACTAGAGAGCTCAGTATATTCAGAACACTAAAGCTATTATTGGTTTGTACTAGCAATAAAACAGGAAAAAGAACAGAAGGAGATAGGGCTGTGGTTATTAAATCAGGGCTTTGAATGCTAAAATAAATAAATTTGTAGGCAATGGAGTGTTATTAAATGTTACTGATATGACTATGCTTTAAGTCCATTAGAACATTTACCCAATGGTGAGTGGGTACACTACATTGAAAACAGAAGTATACTAAAGACAAGACAAACATTGTCTTAAGATAACAAGACCTTCCAATATTAGGTTCTTGGAGAAAAGTAACTGATGCCTAAATTAGAGGAATGGGGAAGGAATAAATGGACAGAAACATAAGAAGGAAAATAAAAAGCTAGGAAGAGTTGGGCTGGGTTGTGTAAACATCTATAATCCTAGCACATAGAAGGCTAAGGCATGAAGATCTTGAGTGTACATCATAGCCAGTCCCACTGCGTCCTCCCCAAAAGGATGTCCACATGGGAAAGACAAAGAAGAAGCAGAGTCTTTGGTGATGCAAGCTTAAATTATAGAACATGGAAAGTATCAGCATGGGGCAGGTGTAATTTAAAGGTATGATAACTAATTCCGTTTAGGACTTCAGACTTTGTGGTGTCAGTGAAATATTGAGGTAAGAAATCTGAGACAGAGAAATGCAGAACTAAGCCTACAGCTCAGAAGATACCTGACTACTGAGAAGAACAAATTCCGCTAATGTAAGAGAAGACACAGATTGTTCTGTGATGTTCCAGACCAGAAAATGAAAGTAGGGTGTGATGCTTGAATTACCTTACTATTAAGTATATTGAATTGAGTGCTTAATCATTTGTTATAGATGACACAAAATCTTGGCATTTTAATTAAGATTTTACTACTTTTATAGTTTATGTTTACTTCAATGCATTCTCGAATTTTCCACTTGATTTGATCTTCACTTTACATGCACCTCTCATCCTTTTATCTGGACTTTCTACTACAATACATACTTCATAAATGCTTCCTATTTCCTTGAAAAGGGCCTGATGAAGCTTATTTAACTATATTTTCATTTTACCTTCATGAAGAATAATTCAGGGCAGGGAATAATTGCTCATGCCTTGAATCCTAGCTACTTGGGAGTCAAAGATTGGGAAGATCATAGTTTAAGGCCAGCTCAGGCAAAAAGGTAGCAAGACCCTATCTCAACAAACAAGCCTATGGTGCAGGCATATAATCCCACTTATTCAGGGAGTGTAGGTAGGAGGATCACAGTCCAGGGCCAGCCCAGGCAAAAAGTACTAGACCATATCTGAAAAACAACTAAAGCCAAAAGGGCTAGGGCTCTCAACTCCAATGATAGAGCGTCTAGCAGTCACTGGTGGCTCACGCCTATAATCCAAGTTACTCAGGAGCAGCTGAGATCTGAGGACCACAGTTCTAGCCCTGGGCAGTGAAGTCCACAAGACTCTCATCTCCAGTTAATCACAGAAAAAGCTGGAAGTGGCACTGTAGATCAAGTGGTAGAGTGCTATGCTAGCCTTGAGCAAAAGCAGCTCAGGGACAGTGCCCAGGCCCAGAGTTTAAGCTCTAGAACCAGCCCCCCCCAAAAAAAAAGAGTTCAAAACTCAGTACTATTATTTTTTTTTAAGTAACAATGTCGATTTCCCAATGAGTCTTTTAGTCAAAATGAGAATGACTCAATTTACCCTGATCTGGAAGACCTAACACCAAAAAGCAAAGAGATCCACAATGCTGTCAGGACATCTCATAAGCTAATTTTACCCATTAATTTTACTATTTCTCTGTAGACCATGCATTCCCACATGCTGCTACATTTATTTCTCTCCTAGAAGCACTATATTCCCCAATCCCCAATCTCAGCTGATAGCCTCTTGCTTTACTGAAAAAACAAAAACAACAACACACCATGAGTCAACTGGAGGAGACCGTATAAAGATTCTAACATCCCATTAACTCATCAGCATTTGTTATCACATGCTCTTCCTTCCCTCCATTACCATAAAATATCCTTCTGAAAGGAATCCTTACTACTTGTACATGAAACATTTCCATCTTGCTTTAGTAATTCTCTCTTATAATCAACAGTTTACTTACAGCATCATATGACCTAATGTTTTCATTATTTTAAAAAAATTTCTTAAGCCAGGTATGGTATTGCACACCTCTCACACCAGCACTTAGGAAACTAAGGAAGTCACAGTACTGTGACGCCAAGGCCAGTCTGGGCTACACAGTGAGTTCCAGGCTAACTTGGGATATAATGCAGACCTGGTCTCAAGAAGAATGTGTCTCGAGAGTCCGAGCAGCGACCATGAAGAGACATGGCCAGACAAGCATTTAGGAAGTTCCTTCCTCTGTTTGACCAAGTGTTGGTCAAAAGGAGTACAACTGAAACTGTAACCAAAGGAGGCATTATGCTTCCAGAAAAGTCTCAAGGGAAAGTATTGCAAGTCACAGTAGTGGCCGTGGGATCGGGCTCTAAAGGAAAGGGTGGAGAGATTCAGCCAGTTAGTGTGAAAGTGGGTGATAAAGCTCTTCTCCCAGAATATGGAGGCACCAAAGTAGTTCTAGATGACAAGGATTATTTCTTATTTAGGGATGGTGACATTCTTGGAAAGTATGTAGAGTGAATACATCACTAAAATGGTATCATGTGAAGCTGCCCATTCCATAATTTCCATATCTCCCTTTTATAATAAACTGATGGTAACTAAAAAAGAAGAAGAAGAAGAATGTGTCTATAATCTCAACATTTACTAAAAGGATCATAAGTTCAAAGTTGGCCTAGGTTACATAGCAAGGCAGACCTGTCTCAAAAAAAAAAAAAAAAGAAAAAAAAATCTTGATCCTACTTCTTTCCCTTGCCCATGGCTTCATTTCCACTTCCCTTTATAGGATAATTCATCATTGTCTCAGTGTATTTTGTGTAACTATAACAATATACCTAAGGCTGGGTAACTCAGAAGAGTATTTAATTTACAATTCTGGTGGCTAGAGGATTCAAACAACATGGTACCAATACGGGGTGAGGGCCCTCTGACTTTATCCTAACATGAGACAGAAGTAGAAAGAGACAGATTGCATGGAAAAGGGGCTAAGGCATGGGGTGGCTTTGCTTATTTATAACCCCCTGTACTTGGGAGGTAGCATGAACCCATTCCTAAGGTTGAAATTTTATGGTCTACCTTCCACTTGGCAATACCTTTTTTTTTTTTGAGGGGGGGGTGGAAGGGACACTGCCAGCACTGCTGGAGACTGAACCCAAGACCTTACTTACATATGCTAGACAAGCACTCTACCGCTAAGCTATAAGCCCTAGCCCTACATAGCTCTTAAAGGTCCCATGATCATTCTAGGGGACAAGCACATGAATATGAACTAGTACAGGAAAACCATATCCAAACCATAGCACTTGCTGAGGAATCGAACCCAGGGCCTCATGCATGCAAGGCAAGCACTCTACCACTGAGCCACCTTCCCAGCCCCTAGCAGCAACATTTTATGTAATTAACTACTCCATTAAAAACTTTCTTCATTTGATTTCTTATATCACTGGATGTTCCCTCTAAGATTCTTTCATTTCTCCAACCTTTTTCCTTTTACAGTCATTCCTCTGATAAGCAAACTTCAGTCTCACAGATTTAAATAACCATCTAAAAGTAATTGAGAGTTGGTAAACTGCTGTAATACACAAATGCAATTAAGAATTCAAATACAATGAAGTTTATTTTTTAATTATCTAACTACTAGGTGGCTGAACAATTTGGAAAGGTGATCCTTATCCCTAAATTCGTTCAGAAACCCAGGCTGATGAAAAGTCTAGCATTTATAACATGCTTTTAAGGTACCCTTGTAATTAACCAAGTTCCAGCAAGCCAGAAGAAAAAAATAGGACAAAGCATTTTTTTTTTTTTGGTCAGTCAGTGGGGCTTGAACTCTGGGCTTGGGCGCTATCCCTTCAACTCTTCAGCTCAAGGCACAGTGCCACTTCCAGGACAAAGGATATCTGAATGGTCCCAAACCGATACACATAGCTCTTTTATGCTTGAACTCAATCTGAAAGGAGAAATTCTGCTTAGCTGAATATCAAGAAAATATGAGAAATGGATATGGTTAACAGTCTGCCACAGAGCCTCAGTGCCAAGCTCCTCCATATTCATAAATGCAACTTCTTACTACTCAGTATCTTGGATAGCTAATCAAACTTGGCATGCCCCACACTAAATTATTGATCTGTGCCCTTGCCTTCCTGCTTGATACCTCTTTTTCTTATATGTCTCACATTCAATCTATCAATAAATCCGATTGGTTCTATTTTCAAAGCATCCAAATTTGACCCTTTCTCAGTATTTCTCTTGCTACCACTTTGGGCTACTGCAAGAATTTCCTTAGTTCTCTAGTTTCTATCTTGCCCTTTATAGTCTAGTTTCCATACAGCAAACAGCTTGTTCCTTTAAAATATGAGAGCTGGATGCTGGTGGCTCACATCTGTAATCCAAGATACTTAGGATGCAGAGACAGCTATGGCAAAAGAAGTCTCTAAACCCAATCTCAATGGGGGAAGACTGCCATAGTGGCATGTGCCTGTCATACCTAGCTACAGTGGAAAGCATAAATAAGAGAATCACGGTCCAGGCCAGCTCAGGCAAAATTGAGACCCCCGCTTAAACATAGCCAGAGTGGCCAAGTGCTGTGGCTCCCATCTGTAATCTTAGCTACTCAGGAGGCTGAGATCTGAGGACCGTGGTTCAAAGCCAGCCCAGGCAGGAAAGTCCCCAAGAGACTCTTACCTCCAATTAATCACTCAAAAACTAGAATTGGAGCTGTGGCTCAAAGTGGTAGAGTGCTGGCCTTGAGCAAAAGAGCTCAGGGACAGTGCCCAGGTGGGAGAGGAGGGGAGGGGAAGGAAGAGAGAGGAGCCAAGCCAGAGTGGGTCGGTACTAGTGGTTCCTGCCTATAATCCTAGCTACTCAGATGGCTGAGATCCAAGGATGGTGGTTTAAAGCCAGTCTAGGCAGGAAAGCTGTGAAACCCTTATCTCCAATTAAGCACCAAAAAGCCAGAAGTGGAGCTATGGCTCAAGCAGTAGAGCACTAGCCTTGAGCAGAAAGGCTTAGGGACAGTGTCCAGGTTCTGAGTTCAAGCACCAGGACCAGCACACACACAAAAAAAAGCCAGAGCAAAAAGGACTTGGAGACAGGGCTAACGCAGTAGAGATCAGCAAGCATGAAACCTTTAGTTCAAACTCCAGTATGCAGTGCCCCCCCCCCCAAAGTGAGATAATATCACTCAGCTCTTACTGCTCAAACTTTGAAGGGCTTTCATTTTTCTTTAAAGCATAAGTGAAAGTCTTTACAATGTCTTTAGGTCATACAAGCATCTCTCTAGAATTTCAGTTCCTACTATTAACTGTCTTTTGAGTCACTCTAGAAACTTTGGCTTCTTCCTGTTTCTTGAATAAACAAGGCGTATTATGGACACGGACACTTTGAACTAGTTAATTCTTCTGTTTGTTATGCTTATTCGTGAACTAAAGTTTTCATTCAAATGCCACCTTCTCAACTGAGGTCTACCTGATCTCCCTACTTTAAACTGTAATCTACCTCTCCCAATCCTACCCAACTTTACTTGATTTTTCCATAGTACTCATTACTTTGAACATACTGTACAATTTCCTCTTTGTGTGTCTATGGTTTGTCTGTTTTCCACTCCCCAACACATACATACTTCCACCAGAACGAAGCTAGATAAGGGTACAAACATTGGTTTTGAAATATATCCCTAAGCACTCAGATTCATTCTTTCTTTTTTTTTTTCCCCCGTTGGCCATGGAGCCTGAACTCTGGGCTTGGGCGCTGTCCCTCAGCCCTTCAGCTCGAGGCCAGTGCTCTACCACTTCCAGCTTTTTCTACTTACGGGCTTCATATATGCAAGGCAAGCACTTTTCCAGCCTAGCACTCAGATTCTTAATACCTGGCATGGGTACTCAAATATTTATTGGATACATACATATCTACTGTTCTATAAGATGACTCAATGAAAAATATGGTTTGGGAGCAAAGCTAATACTGACCATTTTTTAAAATCATTTTTCCTCTAAAACCATGAAACACAGACTTTCTACTACTGTATTAATAGGTTTACCTATATCCCTTCACTTGCTTATCAAATATGTCAATGTTTCCAATTCAGATTTAACTCCTTAGTGGTTTAAAAATATCACTAACATTATCAAAACTCTATCTCAACCAAGCAACTGGCCATAGGGGTAATATACTGTCAGTACAGGTCTGTCCAAGCAAAAATGTGAGACTCTATCTGAAAAACAAGTAAAGCAAAAAAGGGCCGAGGATGTGATCCAAATGATAAAATGCCTGCCTAGCAAGTGTGAGACCCTTAGTACAAACCCTACTATTACTTTTTTTTTTTTTTGGGTCCGTCGTGGGGCCTGAACTCTGGGCCTGGCCGCTGTCCCTCAGCTCTTCAGCTCAAGGCTAGCGCTCTACCACTTGATCCACAGTGCCACTTCCGGCTTTTTTCTTTTTGCTTATGTGGTGCTGAGGAATCGAACCCAGAGACCTCATACGTGCAAGGCAAGCGCTCTACCACTGAGCCACCTTCCCAGCCCCCCTCCTATTACTTTTTAAAAAGCATCCTGAAGTTTTTAGTTAAGCAATTCTAAAGCTACAAAGTAATTTTTCCAGTGTCATTAAAGGTGGTATATTTTAGTGTAAAAACAAAAACAAATAAAACAAATAGCCCCCAAAGACTTTTAAGTCTTATTTCATGGAAATGGACCAGAAAATGTTTGTGTTTTCTATTTCTCCCTACTGTGTTGTACTAAAATAAATCCCTGTTAAAACTTTTAGAAATGAAAAACACATAAAAAAACCAACTTAAAATACGGCTGCTAGTACTCAGTCTTGAACTCAGAGCCTCTCATTCTCACTTGACTTTGTGCACTCCAGGCTGGCCCTACAGCCACACTTCTTCCAACTTGTTGTTAGTTAATTGTAGATAAAGAATCTTATAGATCTGCTTGCCTGGGCTAGCTTCAAACTGAATTCTCAAACCACAGCTTATTAAGAAACTATGATTATTATATATATCATATATATATATATATATATCCTATGATGAACCACAGTCATCAGTCTGCCTAAAACAAAATTATTTCTTAATTTAAATGCAAAGTATCTTTTACAATAAGGAGATGGACATCATATCTATATATTTTTTAAATATAGTAAGTTAACAGTTGAAACTGTGAGCCAATTTTTTTTTCTCTTTCTCTGAAAGTCGAATTTCAGAATCTGCAAATGATACTTTTTACATTTTAAAAGTCCTAGACAGGGCTGAGTGTGATGCCCATCTATAATCCAGCTAAATGAGAGGCAAAAATAGAAGGATCATGGTTTGAGACCAGCACAGGCCAAAACAAAACAAAAAAATTAGTGAGAGCCCTTTGGCTTCACTTAGTGGTGCAAACCTGCAATTCCAGATACAGAGGAGTTGGAGATAGGAAGGTCTAAATCCCAGACTAGCCCCAGGCAAAAATGAGATTCGCTCTGAAAAAAATAACCAAAGCAAAAAGAGCTTGGAATGTGGCTCAAGTCTTAACAGCAAGCACAAGACCCAAGGTTCAAACATCAGGTACTGAACAAA